CACTCTGGAATGCACACAGAGTCTTTGCAGATTACTAAGGATCAACCCTCTACCGACATGACATTGATTATACAACTCTAAGCATATATGAGTAGATATTTCTAAGCATAAATGACAATCAACAATACAAATCTAACAAGAACCACTTATCTCTTCCGCCTAAAGGTTTTATACCTGGTAATTTCTTTCTCCCCCCTCTCTTTTGGACCTCAAATCTAATCACCCAATGTTCTGCCCCACTTTATCATCCTATCTGTCTTTTCAGGTTTTGGCAGATGTGCTTGATACAACAGATCTAGTGAGAAGTTGTGTCCAGAGTGCAGTGAGTATGCTGAGAGATGAAGTGGACAGTGGTGAATTCAGCACTAAGAGAGTTGAAAATCTGCTGATTCTTCTGAATGGAAACTATACTGAAGGTTAGAAAATAAGTCAGTGAAGATGATCTTTTAACATCAGGCCAGTGTTATGCAGAGTGAAATTGCAGCCAAAATATGGTTTACCAAAAAATGACACAAAATAATTTTACTTTTAAGGATTGTTTGCAACAATTATGAGGAAGCGTCTTCACTCACTGTTAAAGGACTACGAGGTCAACATGCATAATTCAAAAAGCTGGGTCCTGAATGAGGCATCTAATGTCAGTGCCCTACAAGAAGGAGGGACATTCCTGTAAGTTTCTGTACTATTTGCTATTATTATGATTTACAAGTAAAATTCAATTCAATCCATTTACTCCCTATTTATTAAAATATATTTCTGGTGTTAAATGCAAAGTATACAACTGCAAGATGTTCATTGGTGATTATTATCACTCCAGATTTGATTGTTACCCATTTCATCTCTAACTTTGACTAGGTATCAGTAGATATCAGCCTGAATTTAAGAAAATTGCATGAATATTTATTTCAGACACACATTGTGGAGGAAAGTCCAAGCAGTTGTCACTCCACTTCTAGCCTACTTAGTCTCAATCACTGACCGAGATTCTAATATGGACCTTCTCCGGGATGATGAGGAAGATATCAGGAACCTCTGGCTTGAGATTTTTGGGAACAAAGAGATGCTCAGTGTGCCGTATGTGAGGGTGGAAAACAAGTAGGTATCTCTTGGTTATATAGTTAAGACATATTTAGGGCAAATTGTTTAATTTCATTTATGTTGTTTTTAATCTGAAAAAGACACTGAACAAAGACAATAAGTCTTAAAACTGATGTTCCATTCTTTTGGGGTGAAGTGGTTCATTTTCTGGCACATGGAAAGGCATTAAAATTTAAGTGAATTATAGCATCTTTTATAATCTGAAATTTTAACTTGCCTCCCTTCTCTAGAGTATTCATGGTGCAAAGCCATATCACAGGTCACCACACTATGCACTGCCACATGCCTTTCAGTTGGTGGATCAAAGACCTTCTAGATGGGTTGATGATGCAAACAAGACAGTCAAGACATCAAGGTAAATATACTACACAAACAAATTATTAAATATATTGTGCCCAGGTATTGCCCTTTATGTTTCTTAAACACATTTGTGGCCTTCTCAGCCTTTTTTGTAGATTATTCTTGCGGTTATTTCCATGATTTGTTCTTGAAAACTCCACTTGGCACTTACATGGCAGAAAATGTGAATGAAAAAATGAAGAAAGAATTTTTCAGGAGATACCTGCATGATTTTGTGTCGATGACCATGAAAGTAGCATCAGATGAAGAATTAGAGGTGAGACAAATAAAATTATATTAATGTGATATGACTCTTAATTTCCTCAAATATAAACATGCTGCGTCTTTGTTTGAAAGTAGTTGTTTTAACATTAGATTAAAATTACATTTAATGTGATATAAATCCCACTAACCCTCTTCAAGATAAAATCAGGTAAAAAAAAAAGAAAAAAAGTCATTGCACACAATATTCTCTGGTCCAGTTTATTGCAGTCAAATACAGCAATTCTTGTCAGCCAACCCCTGCCTGACAACTTAGATCAGTTAAACCTTTTTGACAAAGTTTTGGTAAAAACCTATCAGGTTGCAATGATGAATGAATGGAATTTTTATAATCCACAGCAACAGATTGAAACACTAATAGCTTGCATAACTAGCAGTGCATAATCAGTTGGAACTCTATAAATTGTGTAAATATTCAAAACTATTACATTAAATGTAATAAATATAACACTAAATTAATTTGCTGATGATGTAAACAATACCATGTTATCAATTTACTTGGGCCTTTACTCTTCAGCTCCTTTGTCAGGCCATGGGCAACTGTGTTGATGAAGTACTGAGAAAGACAGGAGATGATGAGCTTTCTCTCCCACTCATCCACATTGCCTATCATGTTTACCAAAAACGTCTTCAGAACCTTCTGCGGATGATTTCTCTTCACCCTGAAGTTGTTAGCCTTTTGCGAAAAATGAAGAACATTCGAGATTGTCCTGAGATGGTAAGCACATTTCTTCATTCTAGGTGGTCTAAGCACTACTTAAAAATTTCTTTTAGTGGTCGAATATTTGTCACATTCTTGACACTATTCACAAGATATTAGAAATATTGCAAAACTGCAGAATCACTTGTGACTTTTTTGTTTTCCTGTAGGTTTTGGATGTTTATGCAGCCAGGGAATGTGTTAATAGCCTGGAACCTTCTAATTTAGACAGTGATGACGTCTGTCAGCACTGGTTGAGGCAGGTGAAGAAGGTGCAGGCCTCTTTGGAGTTTATTTGCTCCCAAAGTAATGCAAAACAATATGGTGAGAGATGCAAGGAAATATTTAACAATGTCAGGTAAGATAATGAGGCAGTGAACACAACATTTTTATTCATGATCAGAAAAGTTTCCAGAGTGTAAAAGTCCCATAATTGATTGCAACTTTCATTACATCCCTGTAGGCTTCGTGTATTGTGATCTCTGCTTGTAGGAGTGAGCTTTATTTTTCTTTGTGTTTTACTTGATAATCTAGAACGGCTGCTTATTTCTCTCATCTTGTATTTATTTATTTATTTTTTAAAACTACAAAAGATTTTTCTTGGTTTCAAATGTGTCAACCCATCAAGGGGGTTAAAACTATAGTGAAATTAGTGAGTCATTACACCACAATACCACTGCAGACAACTCCATTACAAAGACAAATGCCACCGTAAATCACAGTGCTCTGAGTGTACTCAGCAGCTGATACCAGGAAGCCCTAAAGAAGACAGAAGTGTTCAAATCACCAGAATAATACCTTATAACACCACAAGAAACAAAACATGCCATGCAGTACAATTCCACTACAATTAATACACTGATGGATAATAATTGGTGCATAAGTGAAATTTTAAAGGAAAGAGGAGATTGATACTTAGCATAAATATAACAACAACAAAAAATAAGCTTTGCCTTGTGTATAAATGTTCTAAATAAATAGCAGAAAGGTGGCTACAGGTTTATGATTTCTGATGAAGTGTTTTGACATTTTTATAAAAAAAAAAAAAGGTCAACTGATATTTTATAAACACTAGCTTTTTAGACTAAATTTTATGACATACTTCTGGGGGAAATATCATGTCCCAAGATATCAGTTAATAACCTATCTGGTCTTTAAGTGATGGCATGATGAATCCTGCTTCCAGGCCAAAACTACTCGGCGTTTAATAAGGCTTTTGTGTTTTTTTTACATGTTTTAATGCTTTGTATCTTGTTCTATTTAATCTCGACAAGCCCCTAAAAACAGTCAGTGATCACATTTGGCCTCTCTCAGTTTTTGTTACTGCCAGTCATTTCAAAGCTCAGTTTTTAAAACCTTATGATGTAACTACAGCCCAGCCCATGCAGCAGTATATTAGTAACCTCTTATTATAGATGGATTATCTCAGTTGTTCTCTCAACAGAAGTTCGGTCCGTTTACAGCATCCTGCCGTGCAATTGCATTTGTCCCGAACCTTTGGGACCCTCACATTAACTTTTATTAAGTGGAAAAAAGTTAGCGTTCATCCTCCAGCTTCACTGTTTATATTATGCTAACAGAGCTATGTCGCTAGCGATTACGTAGCAGATCGTTATATACCAGCAAGCCAGACTTCAGTTACCCTACAAATGTCACTGCTGATTACTTTCCTGTCTTCATTTATGTCGAAAATGATAGTAGAGCTGTACTTAATTTTTTTCGGAAATCCCTCCGTCAGAACATGGTATATTATATTTAGATGCAAACTAGCGAACTAACTTCCTGCTAATTTCTAACTCCGTTACATTTCATAAATTAAGTTTTCATGGATGCCTGGATGGTAAACTTAATTGTTACACCTGGTAGAGCAGCAACGCTGGTCATTTTATTACAGATAAAAGGATTTAGACACAGTTTTTAACTGTGATCCTGCAGTGATTTTGTGACTTGGGGACCTGCAGCGGAGTTTGGGCCCAGGCACGGCTAATGATGTCAGACTTAAAGACCGGATAGCGATCACCTAGTCAATGCTACATTTACTGCCTTTACGTTACTTTCCACTAACATACCCACTATTCTCCAATAGTGCTGAATTTCCTGGGGACCTAAGAAATCCCTCACACTATATACTATAAAACTAAAGATTTATATACCTAGCATTTTCCTCCTATATTTTCAGATCAGATGTGTATAGTCTTCCAATCTATTAGTGATCTTGATACAGAGAATTTTCACATTGTAGGCATCCCCAAAACAAAAGAACACTTAAACTAATTTTTTTGTGTTTGTTTTTTGTCATTTTTAAATGTGTGCTCACCATTTCTGCTAACTAGTGTAACTAGTGTATTTGGGAAATACACTAGCACAGATGTAAAATACTCTTTTATGTTGTTGAATGAAAAGAATTGACAACAAACTAACTGTGATCATGGTCTGTAATATTTTGCAGTAATGGCTGGAAGCACATCTACACCCTCTCATTGTTTGTTGAGCACATGTTGCTGGGTTTTCAAAATGAAGACAGTCAGCTCAGAACACTGGTCCTGAACCACATTAAACAGCTAAGCATTGTGAGTGGGCTTTCTAATGGCCATTATATTCTGCAAGCTGTAAGTATTGTGCTCCATATACAAAAGGGATCTTCTTACTACTATAAACTGGTCATTTTTAGCACAATTTTGTTTTGACAAGATAAAATGATTGTTCAGCCAACTAAACTGTTCTGTTTATGATTTAAATTACATTTAATGTTCTGAAGAGAAACGTAGATGTAAGATCTACAGGGGCTTTTAAAGCTGTAGCTGAAGTCCTGAGGTCCTGCAAGCATGAGGCAACTAATCAGATTTTCAGGTAATGACTTTTCGGGCATTTCTTCTTTCTTCTTCCTTCTTTTTTATTTATTTTTTACCTTTAAATTATTTAATATGAAATATTGAATAACGTTCATTAGCTACAATTAATTTAATCACATTTCCATGAAGGTTTGGACTTGGATGTGAAGTGTGCATGAGCGAGCCACAGGAACCAGTAGGACTGCCATGTTATCACATCTACTGTTTAACATGTATCAAACAAAGTCTTGATGCAGGACAGACATCCTGTCCAAAGTGTCGCCAAGAGTTACCAAATGACTTCCAGCCACACGTCTCTGAAGATCTACGGTGAGTTTTTGAGATTTTTTAAAAAATTTATTTTATAGCATGTAACGCCTGTAAAACTTCAAAGAGACTCTTCTCTCATCATCTTGGAATAGAGCTGTAGAGTCTTAAACACATGTTTCTAAGATTTTTAAGACTGAGTACAATAACCTATATTTGAATTGAGAAGTAGGAAATTTTCAAATCTTTAAGACATGCTCAACTGGTGTATGTTATCTGGCTTTATACCCAGTATCATCTGTATAGCAAGTAAAATTTATGCTATGTTTTTGAATGATACTGCCTTAGGGAAGTATTTATAATGTAAACAGAAGTGTTCGTAGCACAGAACTCTGTTGAACTCCATAAATAAACTTTGTGTATAAAGAAAACTTCCCGTTTATATGAACAAACTGGAATCTATTTGATAGACATTATTTAAACTACTACAGCACAGTACCTATAATACCTATGGTATGCTCTAATCTCTGTAATAAAATACTATGTTCAGCAGTGTTGAACACTGCTCTGCGGTGTAACAGGACAAGCACACAGATGAGTCCACTGTTAGTGGCCTTAAGAAGATCACTTGTGATCTTCACTTCACTTCACTGTTTCTGCACTGTGATGAGCTCTGAAACCTTGCAAACTACTCTTTCAAGAATTTTTGAGATAATGGATGGTTGGAGATATCAGATCCAACGTGTGTTCTTCAGTAGAACAACAAAGAAGATCCAAACTGGTTGGGTGCAAGGGTGCGGGCCAGTTTCAATCTACAGGGTGGGCCATTTATATGGATACACCGTAATAAAATGGGAATGGTTGGTGATATTAAAGTCCTGTTTGTGGCACATTAGTATATGTGAGGGGGCAAATTTCTCAAGATGGGTGGTGACCATGTTGGCCATTTAGAAGTCGGCCATCTTGGATACAACTTTTGTTTTTTCAATAGGAAGAGGGCCATGTGACACATCAAACTTATTGGTAATGTCAAGAGAAAAACAATGGTGTGGTTGGTTTCAACGTAACCACACCATAACCATAACTTTATTCTTTCATGAGTTATTTACAAGTTTCTGACCACTTATAAAATGTGTTCAATGTGCTGCCCATTGTGTTGGATTGTCAATGCAACCCACACTGATAGCAACACCGCAGGAGTAATGCCAGCACAGGCATCCAGTATCCGTAGTTTCAGGTGCTGCACATCTCGTATCTTCACACCATAGACAATTGCCTTCAGATGACACCAAAGATAAAAGTCTAAGGGGGTCAGACCTTGGGGGACATTCAACTGGCCCACGACGATGACCAATCCACTTTCCAGGAAAGTGTTCATCTAAGAATTCTCGGACCTGGCACCCATAATGTGGTGGTGCACCATCTTGCTGGAAAAACTCAGGGAACGTGCCAGCTTCAGTGCATAAAGAGGGACACACATCATCATGTAGTAATTTCAAATATCCAGTGGCCTTGAGGTTTCCAGTTTCCAGTTTGTAAGGGTGCCATTTGTGAGTAGCTAATATCTGCCGAAGGGATGTTCGACTAATGCCACTCTCCAGTGACATGCGGCGAGTGCTACGCTGTGGGCTCTTGCTGAATGAAGCTAGGACAGCCACTGATGTTTCTTCATTAGTTGACAGTTTTATTGTGTCCACATTTTGGCAAATCCAACACTGAACCAGTTTCACGAAACTTAGCAAGCAGTTTGCTAACTGTAGCATGGGAGATGGGTGGTCTTGTAGGGTGTCTTGCATTGAAATCTGCTGCAATGACCCGGTTACTGCGTTCACCAGATATCAACACAATTTTGATCCGCTCCTCACGTGTTAACCTCTTCGACATGTCAATGGCTGTGAACAAAGAGAAACTTGTAAATAACTCATGGAAGAATAAAGCTACGAAACCAACCACACCATTGTTTTTCTCTTGACATTACCAATAAGTTTGATGTGTTACATGGCCCTCTTCCTATTGAAAAAACAAAAATTGTATCCAAGATGGCCGACTTCTAAATGGACACCATGGTCACCACCCATCTTGAGGAATTTGCCCCCTCACATATACTAATGTGCCACAAACAGGACTTTAATATCACCAACCATTCCCATGTTATTACGGTGTATCCATATAAATGGCCCACCCTGTATATTAGATGTTGAAGGCATCTGACGTTGACTTGTCAAAGACCACAGTTCCCCTTATGTCTTGATGAAAGGACTGCTGACAAGGCCAAAGGCCTTTGTAAGATCTATGAAGGCTGTAAACAGTGTCTGCCTTTGTTCCCTGCATCGGTCCTGCAGTTTTCTGAGGGAGCACACCATATTGATGGTGGACCTGTTGGCATGGATTCTTGGTAGACTTTATCTGCCAACACTTGAAGCCTTTTGAAAGCAACTCATGCAAAGAGCTTGCCAACAACGCTGAGGAGAGTGATACCAAGGTAATTATTGCAGTTACTTTTGTCTCCTTTGCTCTTGTAGAGGATGGCAATATTGGTGTCCCACGTGTCTTGTGATACTTCACCTTCCCTCCAACAAAGGCAGAGGATTTTGTGCAGCTCAGTGTTGATGGTTCTCTTGCAGCACTTTAATCCTCTAGATTCAGTGACACTCCAAATCACATGACTGATTTATGATGTCGTAGCAGCAAGACACACCCTCACCGAGTCTCCATTTCAACTTCTAAGTTTGAGTGCAGATTTTCTCAATGGTGGTACTGAGGTAATTTTAAAATCTATCCTAAGTTTCAGCTGGGGAAGTCAGAGTCAGTATTTAAGCACTGATTAAGCTGGCTGGTCATGTAGAGGTGTGGAGGTGACGCGACAAAATTTATTTGGTATAGACCCAGTTCCCTGGGCTCATCTGGTAGGTTCCCCTGCCAGAAAATAGGGAAGTCTTTCTCCCTCACCGACCTGACCCTGATCCTGGGAGCCTGATCTTTTGGAGATTAAAAATGTCCAGCAGCAGTCTGCTCAGCTCTGTCTCAAAGACTGTTGTCTTTTGAGCATTGCTGATATCTTGCAGGTCCTTAGAGAAGCCTGTTGTAAGCTGCCCAGTGAAGTATGATCTCCTTTCCCACCATCAGAAAAAAAAAAAGTCTGGCGTCTAGCAATATGCCACTGGAGCAGGAGACTCGGAGACTGTTGTTCAGTCTGTTGTTTCCCGTGGTTTGTTGACACTGTGGCAAAGTGGGAGTCTCCTCTCCATTGCAGAAAACCTGGGTGAGTAGGTATGGAGAACAAGCTGTTACATGCACACCGGATCCACCCTTCTCCAGCCCACTGGAATGGTCCAGTGGAAAGGAAGATGCTAATACACTTGGTTCCAGCATCGTTGCAGGAGACACCCAAATGTTGCTTTTTACAACAGCAACAGACCTCCTTAGGCACCCAAGTCTTTCCCATGGATGGGTATGGCCATAAGGCAATGTAGGTTTGAAATCACAGTTTCCCTTCCCATATACAAACTGCCTTTTCAGGGTAACAACCTGGTCCCATCTACCTGGTAACGGCATGAATATTGAGTCCTTATCATGTTGCTTATATATTTGTATATTATCAGTATACTGTATTGTTATGTCAGTTTGTGCTTATGTGAATGATATGCGTGATTTGGATTTCTATCTGCCAAATTGTCGGGCAGTGCTCCTAATTTTGTTGTAAGCTCTGCTTCAATAACAGTAAAGGCATTCTAATTCTATATTGCAAAAATCGAACATGCAGAGAAACAATATTAATATGATATCAGACCTTTCCTCTGGAATTACTAGTGTATCTTGGCTAATATAGGAAGCAAGATTCTAATCAACAGAATCTACTACATAATTAAATGTGTTGTCCCACAGTAGTAAATCACTTGGTGGTTTGTTTGTTTTTTGTTTGTTTGTTTTTTTGTTTGGTTTTTTTGCCTGTCGCGTTTGGTTCTTTTGCCATCAGAATTGTTGTCTAAAGGCAAAGAAAGATGCCCAACGGATTTACTTTACCAAATGGACCATCCGAGCCTTGCCGTATTGGTCTATTTGATTCACCTTTGCTTTTATTGTTTATTTTATTTTCATTTGCTGAACACAGGACAGACTTCACTGGGGAAAAGAAAAGGGAGAAAGTAAGAGGGAAAGAAAAAGAGTGGGGAAGAGGGACGGTGATATAGGGCAAAAACCAACAAAACAAACAAACAAAAAATACATATATCAATCACCTGGATCACCCGTTGAGAAAGAAAAAACAGAAAACAAGCAAA